TGGACGTGTTGTAAGGAGAGACAGGTCTTTAGAGAGGGACATCATGCTGGGTAGAGTAGAGGGACAGCACAGGAGGGGAAGACCCTCTATGAGGTTTATTGATTCAGTGACTGGGGTACTCGGGATGGGTGTGTCAGAGGCAATGAGATCGGCACAGGATAGAGCACGGTTTAGGGCTGTTGTACATAGCGTCGCTATGAGTCGCAAATGACTCGACAGCACATAACGACAACAAACAACAATTATAAAAAAAAATAAAATGAGCCTATCCAGCAACAGAGAGAATCTCTCACCACCAGTAAAAGAGAAGCAGGAATATAGTGGATGTCCTTCAGGACCATACATTCTTGTGCCATCTAGACTTCACAACACAGCAGCATTAGCTAGACTTTTGGCAGCAGCAGCCATAGCTGCAGCAGAGAACCACAGAGCCAACATGAGATAGGACTGACCTTGGAACTACTACCCCTCATGGACAGAACCAGAGCATTTGTCCAAGTTTGTTTGAGAGTTGTGGGAGATAGGAAGGAAAAAACCAGTATAGGCAGCACTGAGAACTTGATAAAATGTCCTTAAGCTGTGAGCATCAAGTCTGAGATGTCGGTTAGCATATTTCAGAAATTATCCTGACTATCAACAATCTGTATTATGCAGATGACACAACTTTGCTCACTGAAACTGAGGAGGACCTCATGCACTTACTGCAGAGGGTCAAGGACTGCAGCCTTCAGTATGAACTGAGGCTCAATGTAAAAAAGACAAAATTTCTCACCACTGGACCAATCAGTAGCATCAGGATGGATGGTGAAGAGATTGAGATTGTTCACAGCTTCAGTTTGCTCGGCTCCACAGTCAACAGTCTTGGCACCGGTAGCCAGCAGATCAAAAAACGTATTGCAATGGGAAAGTCTGCTGTTAGGGACCTCTCCAAAATACTCAAGAGCAACAGTATGTCTCTGGAGACTAAGGTCCGTCTGATACAGGCCATGGTTTTCGCAAACACTTGTTATGCATCAGAGAGTTGGACAATGACTAGGGAGGATAGAAGGAGAATTGTTGCCTTTGAGCTGTGGTGCTGGAGAAGAGTATTGAATGTACCATGGACTGTCAAGAAAACAAACAGATTCATCCTAGAGAGGGTTAAACCAGGCTGCTCCTTGGAGGCAAGGATTCTGGGGCTTCGCCTGACATACTTTGGGCATGTTGTAAGGAGAGACAGGTCTTTGGAGAGGGACGTCATGCTGGGCAGAATGAAGGGACAACGCAGGAGGGGAAGACCCTCTATGAGGTGGATTGATTCAGTGACTGGGGTACTCGGGATGGGTGTGTCAGAGGCAATGAGATTGGCATGGAATAGAGCAGGGTTTAGGGCTGTTGTACATAGGGTTGCTATGAGTTGCAAATGACTCGATGACACATAACAACAACAACATATTCTACTAGTAAGCTGGATTGTAACTTTTTGACTTCTTCATCATTTTTCTGAGTGGCCTGTGAGCTATTACATCATAGTTTAGGCCCAGCAAATCAGTAAAATTTGTGTCGTGATCAGTAAAAGAGGTGTGGAGACATGTCTGACCTCGAAGAGAAGAGGAGAGAAAAGAAAGAAAAAGAGAAAAGGAAGTATATTCCTTCCCTGTGTTATTTAGGATCTTATAGTCATATTTGCTTTTGGCTAAAAGTTGAACCATGTGGGTGGTTTAAATCCATGTTTCCCTTGATTCATAGTTAGCATATTTCAATTCCAATTTTTATTTGGATGTTTGCAGTTATTTCTTCTCATTTTGAGCCATATCACTTCAGCAAATAAAGTTTTCCACCATCCATTAAGGTCAATTGGATTTTGAAGAACCCTAGTGACGTCATGTGTTACCTGCTGGGCTGCTAACCATGAAAGGTTTTTGTTTGTTTTGATTTTGTTTTTTTATACTGAGATGGCAACCCTTGCCCAGTATTCTTTCAACTGTCTTCCAATCTGAGGGCCTCATCTTCTGACCCTATAATAGAAAATTTATGTCCTTTAATTTTTCACTGGCTAGTTTTTCAGAAGTAGCTCATGCGCTCTTTCTTTCTAAGGAGTCTGTGTTCATCAGGGAGCTTGGCCAAACCTATCCAGTATGAGAGACTTTGCTGCTGTGTGAAATATCAGTAATAATGTCAGGCTTCTGACATTACAAGAGCATGCAAGCCATCAGGGTACATACAGCGTACTAACAAAATAGTGATATAAGATTGTATAATGTTTACATACATGCTCAGTACCCTTAAATACCTTTCTACGGTTCCTGTTTTAGCTTCTATACATCAAGTTCACGGAGTACCTGGAGGATGTGCATACTTGGGTCTCTGTCTACAGTCGGCCTTCCTCCAGCTGCTTCCTGCACACACACCGGCTGTCCGTCGCTTTCTGCTTGCTGTGCGTGTACTCCTGTCTCACTGCTCTGTTCACAGCCGCACAAGACCAGGTGGAACCTCATGATTATCTGACAGCAATTTTCCAGTCATGAGCCCACAGTGTAAAACCTTCCTGACTAAGGGCATCAGGGAGCAAGTCTTCAGGAGAAGAGCTTTAATCTATGTGGGGACAGGGTTTGGAGGAGGGAACTCTGAGAGAAGCAGGACTGCCCTGCTGCAGCAGAGATGTTTTCAGGGGTTTTGGGCAGTTGGGCTTCTTGACTGAGAACACTCCTGGATTGTTTTCATGTTGGTTATTTCAATTCACTCCAGCCATAAAACAAATATTGATGGCTACACTTGCTGTTGGGAAGCCAGTTTATCTATTTATCTCCTCATGAAGTATACAGATTTATTTAAAAATAGGTACTAGCAAGTGAAATGTAAAACAGAAAACCTGATTTTCTTGGGGAAAATAAGTTATAGCTTAACTTTGGGTGAGAGACAACAGTTCACATTAGCTTATTCTGACAACTGCAGTCATTAGTGGGACCCCTTGCCCCATTAAGTACATGGGTTCTTCTATGGCTCAAGATCATGAGACCAGGATATGGAGATAACAGTGGTTCAGGATAGAACTTTTTTATCCCTTAGAGACTTCACATTCAGAGTGTTTGCAAGAACAAAAATGTGGTGGGGGTTTGGAAAGACATGGTAATGCTGGGCATGGTTCAATGATGATTAATTTTATAAAACATAACAAATGAGAATGTATGAAACACAATCTGAATGAAAAATAATGTGAAACAACATAATATTTAAAAAGACATTTATATATATAAAAGATATATAAATAAAAATTAAAAAAGATGTGCATATGTAAGAGATGACTATATCATAAGGTAAGAAACATGATATTCTAAAAAAAGAAACATGATATTCTAGTAAAGGTTGCGATAATTGTTCACAATTTCTGTTTTTAGAGACTAAGAAATAAAGCTGATTAGATACTTTTTATATTGAAAAGAGATTTAAAAAAGAATGTGTTGCCAAAATCTTTTCTTAGAAAGAAAAATAAGTGCACATGATAAAGAAGTAGCTATCCAACAGACATAGAGCAATGGTAATTATATAAAATATATATAAAATACAAAGTACATGTATGAAATGTGATGTATATGCAAATCAATAAAAGTTTTTTTGAAAAGATGAAATAAAAAAATAGCTATCCAGCTTAAAGCACGTGTGCATATGGAAAGGCAGCCTAAGCTGGTCTTCTCTTCTAACATCAGAAGTTGTCAGACCTGGACTATTCAGCATAGCTCTTTGTTCATTTATACATTGAGGGTAATGAGGCCTTGAACTTTTTAGTAAGGATGAAATCATGAAACATATAAGGACATGAAGCTTCATACCTGGGGGGATACGGGAATTCAGAAAACATTTGTTTAATTCCAAACAGGAGAAAGACAGGCATGATTACCCATAGGGTCAATATATCAGGGGAGACCATCATTAAACGTGAACATTCACTTGAGATGTGTCTTAAACAAGCAAATGGTTATAAACAAACAGTTGTGCATCTGTCCTGGGTGGCATGGATTGGTTTAACATGGTGCTTGGACTATTGCAGCTCTCCCTGGACCTTGGCCACATCCTTGTTATCCTTGGTTCCTTCACAACTGGCCTCCTGTGCACTCTCGTGGCTACTCCAGTGGCACTACTTTTGTCATTGCTCTTCCGGCTCAGTCAGGTACAGTGGCCTGGGCATGCTGCCACTGCCCTCCCAAGAGACTCCTCCACCTAAAGATGACTAGCTACTCTGAGTAGCCCTTCCTTCTGCAGGATACCACAGAGCCTCTGGGAAAGGAGACTGGCCACAGGCTGCAGGCTATGCTGCAGGAGATGATGCAGGGTAAGTGTGCTATTTAACAACCTTGTGTTATTGAGTACTGTTGAAAAGAACCAATCCATGCCTGACACTCCAGTGAGTTTTCAGAGAAAGTTAATTACACTGGAGGAGATTGCCCATTCTTCTTTTTGTGGAATTGAATTGTGTGTCTTCGAGATTGCAGCGAAGGCAAGCTCGATTGAAAGGGAACTGAGGTGGGGGCTATCAAGATGGCGACGGCCGCCTCTGCGCCGTCAATGATCGGGCTTTCGCCCTTGGATTCCCGGCTCCCTGCCTGCACCTCGCCTTCAGCATCTGTAATGAAGAGACATACGGCATCTGAGAAAACCTCATCAGCCTTGAAAGGTGCCATCCAGCTAGGCATTACTCACACTGTGGGGAGCCTAAGTACCAAACCAGAGCGGGATGTCCTCATGCAAGATTTCTATGTGGTAGAGAGTATCTTCTTTCCCAGCGAAGGGAGCAATCTAACCCCTGCTCATAACTACAGTGATTTTAGTTTCAAGACATATGCACCTGTTGCCTTTCGCTACTTTCGGGAGTTATTTGGCATCCGGCCCGATGATTATTTGTACTCCCTTTGTAGTGAGCCACTGATTGAACTCTGCAATTCTGGGGCCAGTGGTTCTCTTTTCTATGTGTCCAGTGATGATGAATTCATCATTAAGACAGTCCAGCATAAAGAAGCGGAATTTCTACAGAAGCTGCTTCCAGGATACTACATGAACCTCAACCAGAACCCTCGAACTTTGCTGCCTAAATTCTATGGTCTGTACTGTGTGCAAGCTGGTGGTAAAAACATTCGAATTGTGGTGATGAACAATCTCTTACCACGTTCAGTCAAGATGCATGTCAAATATGACCTTAAAGGCTC